ACAATCTCCCAGTCACCTGAAGCCAAGCCCAGAAAATATTTCTATAATTGGGGTCAAAAGTATGTTAAAGAGTAGTAATAATAATGTTTTTTCTTTTTGTAGAACATAAACTAAATCTAATTTAGCATTCATTTTTTTATACAGCAGGCACTTGACAAAATTTTTATTCTTTTCTTTCTTTTTTTTTTTTTGACCTCTAGCCTCATGCCTTAAGTATGGTAATATATAAAAGAGTATTCTCAAAGTAGCACAAATCACGCTTGTATCATCAGAAAGCAAAGCCCCAAAGTGAGTACTTGAAAGAGGACAGTTCTGCATTTGGCAATACTTTTGTGCTTAAAGTATACTTCATTTTGTGGCTTTGTCAGAATATTCCTTCACTATTATGAAAATTGCTGGCATGCATTAGTATACAATGTTGAGTTGAAACTGCCTGCCAAGTAATCTAGAAGATTGTCTACTAAAGCTCTAAATCGAATAGTTAAGTTGACTGTACTAAGAGACAAATCTTCCATGAACTAGACAGAGCGTAGTACAGATGAGGAAAAGAGGTGACTCCATCTTTCGGAGTTTCATTATTTTCTAAATACTGGTTTAATGTGTCCTATAATTCTGTAATTTTGAAATAAGCAGAAGTTACTAACATTGCATAGAATAATTCCTTATGTAGCTTTCACTTCAATCTTACAAATTCTGAACTTCTCTATAGCATATTTAACATTAATTCACCTTATTAAAAAAAAAAACTCTATTACTGATTCTTTTATCTCACACCTCCAATGTTTCTCCTGAGAACAAGACGGCTCCCAATATATCTAGACCACTAAAATAATTATGACTAGCAATGACTCCATACTCTCAATCACTTTATCAGGTAAGTTGGGAGTAAAAATAAAAGTTTAACATTTTCAGTAAAGCCGGGTATTTACTACTGAGAATTATTACTAATAAGATCTCCATTTACATTCTATGACATTGAGGTATAAATGTAGATCTACCAATGCATATCTGACCAAGACAAATGTTTGTTCTTTGTTTTCATGAGAGCTGACGAACTGTGAATAAGGGATAAAGGTCTGAGCTCACTGACAAAATATGTCTAAGTGATTTCTACCACTCCTTTCCATAGTATTTATCAACAAAGGGACTTTAAATTAGAGCTGCCACTGGAACAATGGGCTCATGTTAAAACATGTTCACATAATTTAACCTACAAAATCTGACTTTCTCTATAGCATATTTAACAGTAATTCACCTTTAAAAAAAAAACAACCCACTATTACTGATTCTTTTATACCTCCAACTTCTCTCCCCAAAACAAGACAGATCCCAGTATAAGTGGCACGACAAAAATAAATATCTTTAAAAATATTTAATGACAAGTAAAAAGACAAAAACAAATGTCTTCAAAGGGAAAGGAATTTCCTTAGGCTTAATATAATTTTAATTAACAAGTATGATTTTAATAGTACAAATAAACTGCTTCTTCAGACTTAGTTGTAGGATATTTCAGCTTACATATGTCCTCATGTGATGTGTCTATATTACAGTAATTTGAAAGAATGGACTTGGCATAGCTATTTGCCAACTTATTTATAAGTCAATAATGTTTAAAAGTACAAGTTGGTAACTCAGGATCATTTCAAAGGCCAGATTTTTCCTAGGCTTTATTAATTTTGTCCCATCAAACTCCAGGGTGATCTCAAGCCTAGTCTTCACATCCAGCTATTTCTGTCATTTCAAAAGAAACTTTCATAATAAAAAAAATTAAAATTGCTATAATGGTTAATTCCTGTCACTTTCTTCAGTTTTCTAAATAAATATGGACAATGTCAGAGGCAAATCAAGAAAAGAAAAATAAAGGAAGGCACCTTTTATTCATGACTAGGCCATTTCCCACCAGGAAGGAAAGGGAGTAGGAATTTAGACTCATTGATACGTTATCCACTGTCTTATAATTTCTAAATTATTACTATGTATTACTGTAATGTTCCCTTTGAGAAGCTGACAAAAGCACTGATATCACTAACCTGCACTGGGCTGCTCAGAAATGGAACTGTTCACAGCTAAATAAAAGACCTAAAAATTGTATACAAAAAGGAAATACTTTGCCCTGAGATCTCAGCAAATATAGCCTTGGAAAGGAAAGAGATTCGAAGCCAAAATGCCTTAAACCAACAGTTTCCTACCCAAAACTTAGGATAAAATAGCATGTCATCTTCACTAAGCACTGACCTGTGGAACTTTCAGAAGAAATTTATCATTTGAGAAATAACTAGACCTTCAACTACAGAGATTAAAAGTAATGACTGAGCATATATTCCTTTCACACCTTCTAACACATGGTTACCCTTTGCCCCAAGTATGGACAGATGTAAAAGTTAATGCAGTCTCATTAAAAGCTGATTCTCTAATGGTGGGCCCCTATTTTCCTTTGCTTATGTACTATTCCATTTTTCTAAAGATGTGTGAGTACTAATAAATCTATTAAGAAAAGCATTACGACCTTGATTAATTTTTAAAATCAAAGAACAAATGACCTCATAATTAACATTCTTTCCTGACATTCAAAGTACATTAGACTACTTCCTTAGCACTCAAGTGCCACTCAATTACTTTAACTGCATGCCAGAGAACCCTGATGCTGACACCAGATCATATTAACCTGTGAGCACAGAGGTTTGCCATGCTAAATCTGAAACAATGGCTGCACTATACAAATTAACCACGATACTGCTTTTATCCAATCGCCCCTCAAAGTGAGCTTATAAAAACTGATTGCTTCTTCCCAGAGGGACATTTTATTTCAGCACTTTTCAACACTACTGCCCCACTCAACCCCACTATAACTCTAGTTAAACACAAAATCTTTAGTACTACTCTCTCCTGTCAGTCTTCCCTTTCCTCTTTACCTCCACCACACTATACTTTCATCACTTCCCACATGCGTTGTGATCACATACCCTTCTCTCACGCAATTTTATATATGGCCTGAATGAAAGCCGATGGTAACTGGACTGGGAAGGTGTGGCTTTGGCCCAATCCATCCAAAGCGCTTCTCAGGACTAGACCAGACCTAACTTTCCTTCCTCAACCCAGAGTCCCAGGGACACAGCTGCTTTCTTCTTTAGATGGCACTGGCCTCCACGCGCTCCTCGGAACACTCTTGTCCAGCTTGTGTAGCAAAGTGGAACACAAGTAGCATCCCCCCTTCTCACCTTGCCCCCAAAGGCAAAGACCAGGGCCTTTGTGTTCCAAAGGAGTTTATTACCCACCATCACGAAGAAGTTCAAGGTGGTAAAACATGGAGAGGTTACAGAGCTTCCACAGAATTCTTGGTTGTGTTCTCTACGAGAACATTAAAAGGCTCACCAAACTCCCTCCTTTAAATATTACCTAAGTCAGTGAGCCTAAACTTTCAGAATTCAGGAGTCAGAAAAACCTTTTTTCAAAATTGGAAAGGGAAATGGAAGCAAAATGCAAAATTAAAAGAGGGAAGGGATAACTGACATTGGGTTTTTTGTTTTTATTGTCCTTTGCTAGAAAAAACTCCCCATCTCCTAGTACTACATGTAAAATTATTTTTATTACACATGCAAGGTCCATCTTTCAAACTATAACCAATCTACCTTTTTGAAAAGATCCTATCATATTATTCTTTTTTTCTTGCTGTGTATGGAGAAATAAAAACAAACTGCATCTGGGCCCTCCCTTGTGGCACAGCAGGTTAGAGCACAGCACTAAGAAGCTTAAGCCACTTCCGCATGAGTTCGATTCCCGCCAGCCCCACAAGGCGTGGCAGACCTCTCCTGACCCGCCTGCTGCTCCCCTCAGCAGTATACTTCGTCGAATTGCCTGTTCCGCTCCCCGCTCTGTCTCTGGTGAATCTTCTCACCCTTTGCATCTCTGGCCTGTACCCCAGTTCTATATGAATAAATAAATAAAAATCTTAAAAAAAAAAAACTGCATCAAAGAGTTGGCACTTGGGAAGAGTGATTGCTGGTGATCAAATCCACCCCATATTCAATCAGGACAAAGAGATAAAGTATCTTATTTGATTAAACTATGCAAATTTTTAAAATACTCAACTGAGAGCACTCTGCTCCTAAAACATAGGGACTATTATTATGCCTGGAAAGTAGAAGAAAGCTAGGCTAAAACCTGAAAATAGCAACTCAGTCTTATTAATTGACCAGATACTAAATTATAGAAAGACCTCCTCACTGATTCCCTAAACACATCTAGCTGTATGAAAGGGAAGAAATATTAGTTCAACAGCATCAAGAAATGATGAACTGGGTGAAATGAATGATGAATGAAAAATAGCTATGCAATTGAACTCATTCTTTATTACAGGCTGAAAAGAAGCAGAAAACCTTACATTGTGCAACTTCCCCCCAATTTGTTTCCAAATTCTAAAGTTATTTGGGACTGAAATTTATACTCAAAACATTCTATTTTTCCCACTGTTAAACAGAGTAAGAAAGGCACATAGTGGTTCAAGTACTTGCTTCTGAGAAAGCCCCTTAGTATGCTCTCCTGTGGTAGCTCAACCTTCAGGAGAACTTAATCCAAGTATAAACTGTGGTCCATATTTCTTTCCTTTATAGTATGGTGATATGTTAAGGTGACTACTTGAAAGCAGGAAAAAAGAAGCTAATCAACAAATTTACATCGGGAATCACATTAAATTATAACTTTCTGGCCCTCCCTGGTGGTGCAGCAGGTAAAAGCAGAGCACTAAGAAGCTAAAGCCGCTTCCACATGAGTTCGATCCCCGCCTGCCCCGGAGGAGATCCACATGGATCTCCTGGCCCGCCCGCTGCTCCCCTCAGCAGTGTACTTCCTCGATCTGCCTGTTCTGCTCCCCACTCTGTCTCTGGTGAAGCCTCTCGCTGCCCGTGAGCCTCGGGCCTGTACCCCAGTTCTGTGTGCACAAATAAATAAATCTTTTAAAAAAAAATTATAACTTTCTAATAAAGCAATAGCATTTTACTTACGATGTTCCTTGCTGAGAATTAGGGTGGGTTTTTGAAGATGTATCATGCTCTGTGGGGTAGAGAAAAAGGGATCAGAGCAGTACAGGGACATGCATTCATGAGGGCATCAATTCCTTTTGATACTTAAATACCAAGAAACTGCACACTTGGTGGAAATCACACCATGATATAGAATACCATTCATGTTACTTCTAGTGCTTTTTCAGAATTGATGAAGCTGTAACAGAGTGAAAACAGCTGCAGCACACCCTACTCTTTCCTGTTAGTGGGTGCCTCTCACACTTACACAAAGCACTATGGCAGGGCTGCTTCCATGACTCACACCTGGGTCAACCACAACCACAAACACACACACACATGTGCGCACATACAACTTGCCACAGTGTACTGTTTACAGCTTCTGTCTTTGGTCCCTTGCTCTGGTCTACCTGTTCTTCCATCATTCAGCACCTCCCCCATGCATCTATTCACAGTTGCTTACAGACTATCTAGAAGATACCAAGATGTCCACGGCCTTTGGTCCTATTCTCAATGAGCTTACAACTGACTGAACACATGAAACAGGCACACAAACCTTAGCGCATGAGAGGTAAGCACATAAACCAAGCAAATACACTAACTATCCCAGGAATCTAAAGGATGGTCACTGTGCTGCTCACGACTAAAGGCAAATTAGGAAAGAACAAAAAGAATGTGTCACATAAGAATGTGTGACAAAGGATGGGTACTATTTCAATAGAATGACGGCTGGCAGGAGGGCGAGAAGGCCTTCAGATGGAGGAGGACACAATGTGTAGGATGGCATGGGGTGAAAGGAGGTCACATGGCGCCAACTGGGAGACTAGTCAGGATGCAGAATCTGTGACAGGCAGCATGAAAGATACACAAGCCAGGCTTTAGAGGGCTCTGAATGCCAGCACAGGAAGTCATGTCTACTTGTTAGGCAATGAGGCGACTAAAGGTTTAAACAGGGACATGACACAGGGATTCCTCATTAAGATTAATCCTGTGATGCTGCCTGTTATGTGACCTAGAAGGAGCAAAAACTATTACAAATACAGGCAACAAACCGGCTGGGAAGCTGCTTCATTTACTAGTCTAGGCACGAGTAATAGAGACCTGAGGCAGAACTCCAAGTGCAGTGGAACTATGGACACTTTCCCACAAATGTCCTAGAATCTTTGCAGTTAATCATTTATCCTCATGGTGGCAGCAGTTTACATGTGATTATTTTAAAATTTCTTCCCTTTCTGGATAGATAGCTAGAACCAGCCCTACAAATGAAGAGGGGTCTAAGCTATGCTTCTGACCACTCAGACTCCAATTGGCCATCTTGATTCTAGACACCTCAAGGCTCTGGTTACTTTTAGGTAATGACCAAAATATATTTCTCATACATATGTGTTCTGTTACCAGTGCACCAAAGCCATGGTATTTCCCGTGTTGAGAATGTCAAAGGTGTCCCTTGTTACGTGACTGGGAAGCGCATAAGGATGAGGGCTCAGAGAACTAGCCATGTGATGAGGGGGTTGGAACTTCCTATGTAATGAACCTTCCATTAAAAAAACCAAAAGGGGGGCCCTTCCTGGTGGTGCAGCGGGTTAAAGCACCACACTAAGAAATTAAAGCCATTTCAGCATGAGTTCCACCCCCATCACCAGAGGTGACCACAGACCTTTCCTGACCCGCCCGCTGCTCCCCTCAGCAGTGGACTTCGTCAATCTGCCTGTTCTGCTCCCCACCCTGTCTCTGGTGAATCCTCTCACCTGCGCCTCTGTCCTGTACCCCTGTTCTGTATGAATAAATAAATCTTCAAGGAAAAAAACCAAAAAACAAAAACCCACCAAAAGTGACTACAGAGAGTTTCCAGGTTGGTGGACACATGGCAACTGGGGAGGATGGTATGCATGGAGAGGGCAGGGAGCTCTGTGCCTTTCCCCTATACCCTGCTACCTCCATCCAGTGGTTCTTGAATTATAGCCTTTGTAATACACTCATGATCTATTGCGAAAATGGGTTTCCTGAGCTTTGTGATCTGCTCTAGGGAAATTAATCAAACTTGAGGCAGGGTCCTGGGAACTCTAAATTATCAACGGCCAGTCAGAAACACAGGTAAGAACTTGGGCTTATAGTTGGCATCAGAAATCTGAGGACAATGCCGCGGGAATCTACAATCTGAGGCAGACTGGTCAAACGCACAGGTGACATTCCCTGGGCGTGTAACTGGTGTCAGAAATGGAGGGTGGTCTAGGGAGACAAAGCCCTTTATCTCCAGCTAGACAGTGTCAGAATTGAGCCATATGCCGAGATACTCTGCTGATTCCAAGAATGCTCCTTGGAATGGGAAAGCCTGCACAGTCTATAGAGGAGACAAGACTGCACATGTGTACACAAATTCTGCTGTATACAAGTAAAATCCATACACTGTGTACTATATTCCTTATAATTCCTTAGTTTAGCCTGAAAATGAAGAACCACACAAAAATCTGTTCTCATATATAATTCCTAGGTTACATAATGCTTTGAGAGTCATTTTCAAAATACTTATGGGTCAGGTATTCCCAAATTATATCTAATACTTTATAAAAAACATCTTCATTATTTTTTACAATAATCTAAACTTCTACCTAAGGAACAGCTTTTTCCTGTTCTTTCAATACAAGGACATCTCTGCTGGGGAAGTTTCGTTAAAATTTTAACTTGCTTTGTTCTTCAATGCAATCACCTATTACACATATTTACTTACTTTGGTTTTGAGTTGCAGAAATGATGTGCTGGGACTCCTAAAAAGAAAAAGAAATTTTTTCTATTAAAGTTACATTATTGCTAATTTAATAAACACTGATGAATCCATTTGTACACAAAATAGGTTTTATTGGTTTTTTTTTCTTAGTTTATTTTTTTTCTTTGGTACCGCACAAAGATTTTTTTCGTTAAAGAGGTATATTTAGTTTTACTATAAACTGGTAATGAATTAAAAAACCATTAGAAAATATGCAAAGCATCTGGTATGCATAGGTGTATATAATCTCTTGAAAACAGTATCATGGAAAGGAATAAGCTACCTTAAAATTGTATGTGCATACCTGGTTGGACAGAACATAGATCTTAAGATGGCATTTCTACATTCTGAGTGTTATCCAAAAGTACAAAGATGGCATTTCTACATTCTTACTGTTATCCAAAAAAAACAGAAAATGGTAGCATTTTCAATATATTTTTCACTAATACTGTAATGAAAATATACAGGTCAGCTGCTGATTCGTTGTTATTAAAACTGCACAAATAACTGATTATAGCAAACCTTAAGAAGATGTAAGGGATGCTGAGATGCATAAGAACATGTTAAGTGCGTAGATATTGGAGTTGTGAACTGGAAGTCACACAATTTAGCTAATTTAATTTCCCTGTACCTCCATTATCCTATCTTTAAGTCCTTCCGTGACTTAAAGTCATTATCTTTAAGTCCTTCAAGTGAGAATATTGGGAAGTTTCAAAGACTACAAAATCCTAAACAAATGTAAGATGTTCTTATTAACATAATTTGGAGAATAAAGTATTTGAAACTATTGTGAAGCAGTTTAGAAGCTAAACTAACTGCAACTTTAAGCTAATCTCACAAGACTTCAACAGGTAATACTTTTTTAATCTGACCCTCAGCAATCCTGAGACCAGACTTTTCACTGGTCTAAGTACAGTGGCTGCTACATTTACAAGGAATTACCTTTGTGGGGAAAGGAAATTTGGATGGCTCAGCCGTACTAGGCGTGTGTATTGCTGTCAAAGGAGGAGGCCATGAATGGGTCATTTCCTGGAAAGAGATTTAGAAAGGAAAGAAAACGTCAATTGTAAGTAGAAAATTTTGCTACTTAGCTTTTAAAACTTAATATTATGTGGAATGGTGATAAATGAAGTTATCTTCGGTTATTTATTTTTTTTTAAAAGTATTCTTTCTTAATAAGTTATGTTTAAAAAGTTTAAAGAATTTGGTCCTCCCCGGCGGCACAGTGGGTTAAAGCATAGCACTAGAAGCTAAAGCCACTTCCTCATGAGTTCGATCCCCGCCTGCCCCAGAGGTGACCACATGGCGTGGCAGACCTCAACAGTGTACTTCATCGATCTGCCTGTTCTGCTCCCCGCTCTGTCTCTGGTGAATCCTCTCACCCTCCGCATCTCTGGCCTGTACCCCAGTTCTGTACGAATTAAAAAAAAAAAGTTTAAAGAATTTAAAGAATATAAACAAGAGCACAGCACATAAATGGTTTTAATGCTCTGAATACTGTAAACACATCAACAGTAATAGGTATTATCAGAGCTTATGTAACTGAGAGCTGAGTCTACACTCAATGCTCGCTTGCTTGCTTTCTTGCTCAGCTTCTTTACTGCGTTTCCTGGAATTATTTAAGTTCAAAGGAAGAAGAACTTTCCTGTTTGACTTAAGCAAACAAGTAATTCAGGCCACTTGTTCCACTTGGGAGAGTTTTAATGGATTTGACCCTTCCCTGATATACGCAATTAGTATATAAGAACTATTTTGGAAAAGAGAGTCTTAAAAAATTACCTTCCCTTTCCATGAAATGAAGTTTCTATCCAATCACTATTTTCCTGGAGGCCACAGTTCTAAAACTCAGAATTAATGTACTTATTTTGACATGAATTTTTTTATTCAAAATATATTCATTAATTATTTTCTGCTTTGCTAAAAAAAAAAAACTAGTGGAAAACAGAATTTAAGGTTAAAGGTGTCTAATACAAACATGTACAGTGTGCACCATGCACACACACTATTTTGAAGAGCCAACCCCTTCTTTTCAGATAAGAAAACAGGTCCAAAATGATGAGTCAGCTCCCCCAAGAAGCCAAAGCTGAGTGAAACAGTGTGAGAGCCTTCCCAGTCTAAGAGAAAATTCCCCAGAAATCAGAGCCATCATGCAAACAGGTTTACATATGCATAGGTGATTCATCAGGAAGCTGATAATCCCAGATGATGGTATATTACCCCCCCATGCAACACTTTATGCAATATAACATGTCCTTCATATCAAAGTGATGAGCAACCTCTTCATCACCATGAAATGCAATCTGATCCTTGCAGTAATTGAAGATAAAGTGCTATCAAGTTCTTCCACTCTCAAACCTCCATGCCCGCCTTCTTTGCCTTTCTCAAGTAGTTCTGAGCTGCTATAGCCCCAGGATAGACATAAATGATTTGGCATTGTAACAAGAAAAGTAATCTAATACTAATTTTCTTAAGAAAATTTTCTTTAAGGTGAAATCATGCCCTTATCTGTTACCCTGGCCATCTAATTTCATTCACTACAAAACAGACATTCTGTACTAAAATACAATGGAAGGCGTATAGATCTGGAAGTGGACACACACAGTGGACACCAGACCCTCAACGGCCAGTCAGCCTCAGTTATCTGAATTCTCTGAACTCTGGTCCTCAAAAAGACCACTTAATTTGCAAAATATACTCTGGTTAATTTACAAAGAATGCTTAGATATATAGTACACAGAAAGCATTTTCAAAATTAAAAGCTTGATGATTTTTAACTACAAGTCTCATTTTTAAGGAATTTCAATAATGTACCAAAGAGAGTTTCCTGCTGTCTTTAGTTGACTAAAAGGCATGGGACAATTACATGCTACAATATAAAAACATGTCATAAATAATTCAAAGTGTCACAAATAATGCAAAGTGTTCACTGCATTAGATAATGTTTTAAGACATGTTACTTCAACAACAACAACAAAAAAAAATAGAGAAGGCATTTTGAAAGTGTCACCCTCTTGTTTTCTAAGAATGTCTTTAGAATCCCAATGGTATCTCTCTTAGTCACCAATTATTCCCAGAAAATACCCATTGTTCTCTCACAATGCCTAAGGCTGTCCCAGCTATTAAATTAGGCAGTTAGAAAGTATATAAACTCTTTCAGGCCCTAAGTGGCTTGCCATTAGTTCAGTAAGAATTTATATACTTTACTTCCCTAAACTTCTAGCTTATTGAAAGGACTAATGGTCTTAGAAGAATTGGGGTCATAAGTAAAGCAGGCTGCCCAAAAGCACAAGGCCCTGAATTTGCTCCCTACCTTAACAATGACTTAACACAGAAATGGGGCATATCCTTGCCATTTGTCTCAGTCGTGGCCTGCTAAGTGCCATGGCTGCAAATCTCTCTACCCTCACCTTGTTCTCTTCGCTCTAAACACACTGTCCAGTTTTTTCTGCTCCTCTAAGACAACAACCTACTCCCGCCCTGAGGTGTTTGCAGAATGTCTTGCCTCTGCCAAATACTCCATTCACATGTCTCACAGGACTCAGCACTTATCAATACCTGACACTATTATACATTCAACTTCCCCACTATGATCTTCATGAGAGAGGTTTTATTCATACCTCACTCACCCCCAGCATCTAAAAAGGTATGTGAGGCTTACTGGGTATTTGCTGAATAAACGAATGAACTAATGAGTAGTAAAGCTCCCCTCACTGGACCAGCTGTCACTGAGGTAATGTCTACAAGTTATACACCAGTTCCTCAAACCGTCTAGGCAGGCTATGCCACCCCCAAGTAGACAACCTGAGCGCTCTCCAAATAACACTGAGGGAGGTCACTGGCAGATACCTTGCGCATGTGCAGGTCCAGTTTTCTAGTGATGTCTGGCTGCTATCTTCATTCGCCATCGGCCCAGAGGAGTTATAGGTCACCACTTCCTCCTATTTCATTCCTACCCTTAGTATTTCCCCCCAAAACCAAACAACTTCTTCCATGATAGATTTTACTATCATGGAAAACCGCTGCCTCAATCGCTCACCAAGAAGGACTGTGTCAGGATTCCTGGCAATCTCCACAAACTGCTGGTGCAGATAAGAACAGCAACCACTAGGCTGAAGCAAGTTTCTGGATCAACATAAGAGAGTGAAGCCGAAATGATCTGCTAGCCCACGGCCTTCCTTTTGCTAATGAGGAAACTGAGGCCTGGGGAAAACACCTAATTTAACCAAGGCCACAAAGGGAAAAGAGGAGGGAACAGGCTTTCCGTATGCACTACACAGGAGCCCATGTGTCCCTTCTTAGTCCTGGACATCGTTTTATTTGCTCAACTTTTTGTCATTTCTATATGAAAATATCATTTACTTTCTTTAACCATGTTATAGTAAAAAAACAAATTATTAAAATGATGTTGGCTGGATGAGAATGAAGGATGGGTGAGTTTAAACTAAAATGCTTGTTGATGCTCTTAATATCATCATCCTAATTAAAGGATTTGACAAACTGTATTATTAACACACACCAAACTCCAAGAGAAGAATCTGATGTATGAAGAAGACAACTACGATGTTAGGTTAACTTCTGAAATAATTATAGAAAAAATATCTTGCAATTCCAGAGAAAATGCTACAGGCTTATTTTATAACAAAGTAATTTGTTATTTTATGACTCACCATACCAAAGATTTAAAAAATACCAGAAGGAAAAGGCTGAAACAAAGTTTGATCAAGATAACTTGTTTATTATTAATCTTACTGGTTGCCAGTTCTTTTAAAAAAAAAAAGGATAAATTATATTTACTGAGAGGTATTTCTCAAAAAATCTTCACTACAAAAGCAGAGGTCAACATACTGTAAAACAAAAACAATGTAAGTATTTTGAATTTGCTCAGAACCTACTCTGTCAAAAGTTTCACAAATGAGAAGGTAATGAATGAGAGAGAAAGAGGGAGGAAGGGAGGGAGGGAGAAAGGCAGGAATTGGGTAAGCATGCATTGGGAGGTAGGGGGAATCAGCAGTAGAGATACAAATTTATAGGTAAATGTGTCATATATCTAAAAATCAGAAATGTAATAAAAGATTAAAGTATTAAAACTGACATTAATAAGAGTCATATATAAGAAATGAGAAATAATTGCTTGGATATTACAATTACTGTATTCAGCATTAAATTTAACTCTAGAGATCTTGGAAAATAAGCCCAAAATGGGAAAACTACCAATTCTTATCATTTTTTTCTGATAAAAGAAAGAATGCTGATTGATAAGAATTTTTTTCCCCTGAAACTGAATTCTAGAAGGAATTTATCATCTTTATGCAAGAAAAACTGAACAAATTTATCATCTTCATGCAAGAAAAACTGAACAAATTTCTCTCTCTTTTTCTCTATCTCTCTTAATGGATTCAATGCTATATTATTTGCAGAAGCCGCACAAATGTTCCTGGCATGACCTCAATAAGCAAGAGCAAAAAATAATCCTCCAACGATTTACACTATTTTCCTTTAATCACTTAAAAATTCATGGTTTTGCTATAGGGGAGGCCAAACACCCAACATGCTACTGACAAAACACCCAGAGTTAGAAATCAAGCACTTCTGAACCCCTAGCACCTCCTGCATCTGATCAATAAAGGCAGTTACTCATTGGGAAATGAGTAACGCAGCTGAGTCTTTACAGACAACTAGAAAAACTTGAGAAAGAAGTCTTAAAACCCTGATCCAAATATCTTACAGTCTGTAGGCTTCCTTTTAACTAGTAAAATCTGCTAGGGACTCAATAATGTTCCAGCACTTCCTTTGTTTTCTGGTCTGCTTTATTTTGCTTTGGGGGTAGGGGGTCACTCTTTAAAGAGGTTTGGGAAAGGCTCATTAAAGTAAGGTAATGATACTTGTCTGCCTACTTGAATATTCTTGAAGTGAGAAACAGCAACAATGAGCTCACCTTCAGAATCTCTTCAACACAATGGACTTCATTGGAGTAGGTCTGCTGAATGTGAAAAGCAAGAATGAAAAGGTTAGCATGCAAACAAAAACAACCATTGATGGTCTTAGGTGCTGGCATTAATACGCAACACTCATTAATAAAATCACTCAGGATCCCACCTTTTATCATTTCTGGAGAAAATAAGACCAGAGAGATTAAACCTGTCTTTAATATGGGTGTGTGGTTGTACAAGGGGGTGGGATGCCAGGAAGTAGGGAAGGTGCTACTGGAGACAAAAGCAAACTAATCCTTAGGTCAAGGCAACAGCTTCCAACAGAAAAACTGTCTATTAAAGACTATTAGTACATCAGTATATCTAGGGGAATAACAGATAAAAATGGAGAGAGCCAAAACAAGTATCACCATGTGCTTTTTCGTAGCCAATATCTGTCCAAGTGAGTCACACTAAGTGCATACCAAGACGGTGATCATCAAGTACCCTGGTGAGCCAAGTCCACTGTATGGAGACCACCACGCGATCAGGGGCTAAGTTTTTGGTAACAGTCTAATCGGCCAAATATTTTAATGTTAAATGACTCTAGTGGGGTTCCTAAGAGTGGGCTACTAGCTGGCCACTCATGGGCAACTGTGAGCTATTTGCTATCTGCAAATCACAGTGAGCATTCCTTGACTACCTGCGGAGGCCAGTCCATATCACGAGGCAGGTAGGCCGGTGAACACCAAGGCCAATGTTGACCTGATTACGTGACTATCTTCATGGTGGTCTCGGGATAACTCTGCCTGTGATAACATCAAACTTTGCTGATGCAAATGGCTCTTGACGAATAGTCACGATGTCCACTGTCTCTCATAAAACCTTGTCCCCAATTCCTATCCCACCCTCTGGACTTTATTCCTCATACCACTGTCGCATGATCAGCTTTTACTAGCCGGTTTGCAGTCAATAAATGGCATAAGAACTTTGCTCAAGTAGCAGAGTCTTGCCTTGCAAACCTGCTCCACGACTGCTATGTCCCCCATCGTATTTCCACCAGCGTGGTAAAACAACTCCTATTGCAACACTCAGCCCTACAGTTCAGTCTACATTTTCATATAAACATGCACACATATGCACATATTCTCATGGACCTATTACCCCAACTAAGGGGAGAGATTACCCAATGTCTTAAAGGAAAGCTTCACTCTTCATACCACTTCCTTATCCCTAGCTTATCAAATGAAGGCAAACATTGCTAGTATCAGCACCTAGATAGTATCTAAGGAAATGTCATTTAGGGACATTTGGTATACACATTTACATTTTTACGCGCACACACAAAAAAAGCAGGGATAAAGTCATATTAAAAAACAAATCATGGGCCCTCCCTGGTGGTGCAGCAGGCTAAAGCACAGCACTAAGAAGCTAAAGCCACTGCAGCATGAGTTCAATCCCCAACCTGAAGGTGACCCACATGGTGTGGCAGACCTCTCCTGACCCGCCTGCTGCTTCCCTCAGCAGTATATTTTGTCAGCCTGTTCTGTTCCCCACTCTGTCTCTGCTCCCCACTCTGTCTCTGGTCTCATTCATCCCCACCCTTGCACCTCTCGCACTTCTGTCTGCACAAATAAAATCTTAAAAACAAACAAAACAAAAAAACAAATCACTTTCCTTAACTGGAGACATGAAGCAAATCCCACAACTTCATCATTTTCAAAGAAATGACAATTCCTGTTCTGTGTGAGTTCAAGAGCCCAGTGCCTGCGCAAGTCCTATACAAATACACCCTGCCTGCTACTGCTGCTTGTAAAAAGCACAGATCTTCCCAGTCAGTTTAGTGCAATACCTGCCTAGCAGCTAGACAGTAGGTGTAAAAACGGTTATTTTCCTGGCTCTTATTTGTAATTTAAGAGTGTAATTTGATATATCACTGGTTGCTAATTCCTGATCTAGGCTTGATTAATGTAACATTTCCCTTATTCCAGTTTAGTATACAGAAAAAGGAAAAGGAAAGAGCGTACAAAATTCACACTGCCCTGGGACTGAATCCAATAGATACGTCAAAATTTAAATTCAATTGGACCTTCCTGGATCTGTTTCTTGAACATGTAAACTTAATTTATGTAGCCATTCCTGATTTGTTGACCTGTGGCATGCTCAAATTTCAGTCCTCACAGCACTCAAGGGCTTGGTAGGGCAGTGAGGGGCTGCTGGACTTTGGAGACTTCCTGTGCATCTTCTGGCCTATTAGAAGTTGCGAGGACAGAATGGTGGCCGCAGTCCCTAGGGTCATCCAGGGCCAACTAGTAAAAGGTGAAGATCTCTCTCCTTTCCGACCTTAAGCAGCATAAACACCTTCAGTTTGAACACCTCCTATTCCAGACATTATCAGTCATTATTACAGCCCCTAGAACCATGGATATTTTGCCTTCCCATTAAGGAACAGAGGCAGCTAGTTGTTTCAACTCATGAACATCTTTTCCGCACAACTTCAACTTCACTGAAGGGGAAGTCATCAGGCTGGCCAAAGACCTACTGAGCTTGACCAGCAGAGCTTTAGGTAGATGTCCTGGATTCTTGGGCGCTCTACTCTGAGCTTTTCAATCTTTTTCATGGTGCATGTCTCTGATGATGGCACTTCGTCACATGTCAACTTCCTGAAAAATTTTTTTTTTTTTTTTTTTTTAAATTTTGCCACTTGTTGCTTTTGAGCTAGGTCCAAAAGTTAGGAGGAATCATCAAGGGCAACTCTATGCCAAACCTACTGGACTTGTCTCTAGACATTATGCATGTCAACTACTAGACCTACCTACTGGCTTTGTTTCCCAAAACCACTAAAGAATGCCTAAAAATCAGGCCAAACTTTACTAAGCAAACATTTTACCACAAATGTCAGATACAGAGATGAACGCTGTTTGCCCTGGGGGTAAAAGTGTTATATTCCATGGGTATCGATCTTTCACATGCCTTGGTAGAAGAACTAACAATTAGGAGTTGAAGATGAATCAGTTTAGCAGAACATAGTGACTGGTCAAATAGCTCCCTCATCCTGTTTATTAGAATGAGACTGGGAATCCAAACAAAACAGCTGGCAATCAATGAAACATTGAAGTACATTTCAATGGGCAAAAAAGATTTGCCCAATGTGTCCCACAGAATGAGATCCGAAAGTTACAAATTTAGACCAATAAAAGACTTTCTGATCTTCATAATTACTCAAGCAGTCAACATTTAGCCAAATGTTTTATATCACCAAAAAATATTTTTCTAATGTTTTTATTACATTAGACTAGGACTGAAGAAATTTTTCTAGAGTTTATTATAGATTTGCAGTATTTATCTTACTCCGATGCAAATAAACAGTCAACATTTAACTCATTTTAAGTTAAGTTCTCAGAGTCAAGCACTCATTGGCCGACTTACTGTGAACTTTCCAATCAGTCCCAATGTGGGAATGGAAGTGTTTCAAAGCAGAGTAGAGATTCCATTCCAAATACAGGAGCATATGTCATATTCAAAGATCTCCAACAAGCACTGTTTGAAGTAAATGGAAATGCTCAAATGCCTAACAATGGAAGCTTAACTAAATAGCTCTAAGTGTATCTATATAGCAGTTTGTTATGTATATATAATAGTAAAATACAGGGGTTTGAATGGATTTGTGCAAGACATGTACTTTCAACTTTATTTAGGAATAATTTGATACTTACAGAAAAAAATTTATGAAAAGAAAGTAACAGAAATCCCCAGAACACCAGTATTTCACCATATATTCCTTATACTTCTCCCTCCTACTCCACCCATACACATATAAACTGAAAATTTGAGAGTGAGAGCATTAGTGTTAATATCCCTTTACCCCAAATTCTGTGTGTACCCAGATACATTTTAAAACTATGAAAGTGAGGACCTCCTGGGTGATGCAGCGGGTTAAAGCACTGCACTAAGAGGCTAAAGCCACTTCCACTTGAGTTCGATTCCCGCCTGCCCCGGAGGTGACCACATGGTGCGGCAGACCTCTCCTGACCCACCCGCTGCTCCCCTCAGCAGTGTACTTCATCGATCTGCCTGTTCTGCTCCCCACTCTGTCTCTGGTGAATCCTCTCACCCTCCGCATCTCTGGCCTGTACCCCAGTTCTGTATGAATAAATAAAAAATAAATCTTTAAAAAAAAAAAAAACTATGAAAGTGAGGGACGGTTACAAGATAGTCTGTTTAGTGTGAGTCCATTTAACCAAGATTCCAATCTACACTCTTCCCCCAACCCATATTTTATTCTTAAACTGAGGCCCAGATATTTCCTATTGGTTTTCACAGAAAAATATGGAAGGTCAGAGTATATCATTTCATAACATACAACTTGGCACCTCTAAGTCTGCCACTAGGAAGACACTGTCCAGAGAGGGGAGAGGTAGTAGTTGAACAAATCATGGTGACAAAACTCACTTTAAAACCCACTTTCCCAAAAGGGTCCCCAGCTGAGTACTGCCACCCCTAAGAGAAGCCAGGATCTCCTTTAACTCAAGCAAGCTCTACAAAGCACAGTTGACTTAAGGCTAAAAAGCTCTTTAGGAATAATTTCTAACAAAGAACAGAGAGGATTAAAAAAAAAAAAAAGCAACAAGATCCTTAATAGTGGCATGAATTAAGGAAGCTAGAGCTTCCTCTTTCTGGCTTTCCCTCAGTGCAAACACTGACTTCAGCACTAGCAACCACAAACCCCACTCACTCACTGTTTGCTGTCTCTCAACACCTGGGTTCTAGAGAGGAGTGTCTTTCCTCACTCCCTGTGCTCCCTTCACTAGTGGGTGTCCTGCTGTACACACAGATCTCCCATTGGAGACCTGACCTTTCCATTGCCATATGGCCCTAACTCAAAAATCATAATTCTACTCCATTCATAAAATGATAGTAGCTATTTAGTATAAAGACAAATTGTACTAGAAAATGCATAAGCTACACTCTATTATTCCCTTCACCTGATACTGTTAATTACAAATTCATCAATCGTCTGTCAGGGGTGGGAGGACAATTGCACTAAATGTAGCTCTATCCATCTCACAGA